ACACTCAGGAGGCTGAGGTAGGAGAATTGGGAGTTGTAGTCCAACCTGGGATAGGTACCCATTCAAGATTAGCCTAGACTACAGAGCAAGATCCTGCCTCAAAAAACAAGACAAAACAAAACAAAAAACAAAAAAAGGGTTTATAATCAGTATCCTATCATGTTTTCTTAGGTAGCAAATACATGTATTTTTTTTTTAAATGAATTTAGGACAGGGCCTATGGGGTGTATAAGATCTCACTATGTAGATCAGACTTAACAGTGATTCTTCTGTTTTCAGCCTCCAAAGTGCTGGGATTATAGGCCAGCACCACCGTGCCCAGTCTCAATCTCCTTCTCAGTGTGCCCTGGGGCCCCAGGCCGGCACAGTCAGCCATCAGGTTTGGTGGTGCGTGCTTGTAATCCTAGCACTTGGTGTCTGAGGCAGGAGGATCGCTTTGAGTTTGAGGCCAGTGTATGATACATGGTGACTTTAAGGCTAGCCTGAATAAGTAGTAGACACATTTCCAAAAAGCAACAACAATAAAAAAAACCCCTTAGGAGTTCTTTCCAGAAGTTTTTTTCTACCTCTCCCTCTACATCTTCCTAATCTTCTGATTAATTGGGACAGTTTAGAAATCCAATTTCAAAAACATTGAATTCATTTTAAAACAAAAACTAATGATTTTTCTTTTTAAAATTTTGTTTCAGTGTACTTGAATATTTGTATGTTTTGTGTGCTAGGTACTAATAAGTAATTTGTCAGTTTTCATTTAAGCCTTACAAGAAACTTATGAAATTTTATGCCTTTGCACTCCTTCCCTCAGTTAAAAAAATTAAGTTGTAGAAGTGATAAATTTTGTCTAGCAAATGGGAGGTCCTAAGTTAAATTACTAATACCCTAAAAAAAATAGTCCTAAATTGATCAAGGTTGCCCAACTGGCTGAGAGTTGAGTCTTGATGTGGTTAACTCCAAAGACTGGTGCCTAACTGTTAGTGTAATATCTAGTTGTGTTATACATTGGATGGTGCTTCAGTCCAGTTCTGAGTACAGTGAGGTTATTTTTGGCAAGGATGTAAATTATACATTTGGAATTGTTATCTGATTGTAAGTATGCTTGTAAGTGTGTGACATACTGCTACCTGGATTTTTCTCTTTTCCATTTTAGTTGCATATGTGTGTTTCTTTTCTTCCCTTTATTTTGGGCCTCAGAAGTGCAACAACCTTTGTACCATGTTGCTAGATTTTAGTTGGCAGTCCTTGTGTATTCCCCTGTGTATTGAACATGCAGTTTGTTACTTGGAATTTATGAGTATTATTTTTCTGTACCCTGTTCCAACAGATCTATGTGGTTGTTTCAGTTGTGTTTGATGTAGATAATACTAGAAAGTGGCATTCAGGTCATTAGCTTTATTGTTACATTTGTGGAGAAAAGTTTTCTTCTTTTTTTGTGTGACTCCTTTGTCATATTAAAAACTGCTTGCCTTTACTTTCTCTTCAAAACCCTATTTATGGGGCTGGAGAGATGGCTCAGTGGTCTAAGGCACCTACTTGGAACAAGCTTGATAAAGCACAGGGACCGCGGTTCGATTCCCCCAGCACCACATGCCAGCCAGCTGCGCCCCCTGGTGGGCTGAGCTGGCCACACACACACACACACACACACACACACACACACAAAATAAATGTTAATAAATAAATAAAAATTAAAAAAAAAACAAAACCCTATTTGTATGCTCATATATTATATATTTTGAATAATCACTACTAATTTCACCATTATTCTACTTCATTTTCGTGACTGAGGTGTGTCCTCTTACACAGTAGAAGAAAACATTTGCAGCATTTTCTCATTTGCATGTTTGCTTTATTTTTTCTTCCATCCATGTTTTTTGGTCTGAAGTATTAAACAAACATTAACTTCTACCAGGGTATTAAATGTTGTTGGTTGTTTCCTGAGCATTCAATTTGCAGCTGGGAGAAATTTCCCAACTTCAGAGTAGCTATCTGTCCTACTTTTTGTGCCTTGGAGCAGTGTCCACAGCTACCCAATTTGGGATTATGCAGGTCTACAAACTGTATATTGTGTGTGCTATGCTGAGGATTTTTATAAGCAGCAGTATTGAAGAATGTCAAAATCAGACTCTTAGGAAGAGGCATTGTACTGGACAGCTTTGAGATTGAAAGGGTTAATTTGTGTTCGATTGATACCAGTGCTTGTGTGACCAAAGGATAATGACCTTCAACACCCCTCATTTTTTGTTGTCTTTAGGTTCAAAATACTTGGTAAAAGGTGGACTGAGAGAACATTAGAACTAATTCTGCATGAACATCACTTTACTGGTTAAAAAGGTAATTAACTCAGTTTTACTTTGACTTGATCTCTTGTAATTTTTCACTTCAGCCTTCTGAAAATACTGCCTGCTTTTTTATGATTTTACTTAAACTTTTTTTAAAAGATTTTTTATGTGGAATCAGGGATTGATTAATCTTTTGTGTTGATGTTTTTCTCTTCAATGAATGTAAATTAATATAATTGAATTATTTTATTTGTTTATATATTTGATACAGGGTCTCATTACACAGCTTGGATTCATAGTGATCCTCCTGTTTTCAACCTCCCCAGCACTGGGATTACAGGTTTGCACCACCACGTCAGTTGTCCGTGGTAGGCGCAGTGCACCCAGGGGCTGGACCAGTGCAGCATGTGGTGTTGGGGATTAAACTCCAGTCCTTGCACTTGCCTAAGCAGGTGCTTAGTCCATGGAGCTATCTTGCCAGTCCTATAATTGAAATATTTGGGAAAGATATAGATCTATATTTGTCCATATATATGTAGATTCATAAGCACAATTTTTAGAGTGAAGAGAGGAAATCTATGAGTATTTGAAGGGCATTTAGTCAAAATGTGACATTTCAGCTAACCCCTTTCCTACCTTTTAATATTGCACAAGAATTGGAAAAATAAGATTAGAAATGTCTTTTTTTTTTGGCGGAACCAGGGATTGAATTCAGGCCCTTGCACTTGCCAGGGAAGTGCTTATTCCACTGAGTCATCTCCCCGGCCCCTGAAATGTCTTATAGTTGAGATAATGATTTTGCTTTGCCTACCTAGTTAAATTTCTTTTTGTTACTAATATCATCATTTTCTTGATTAGCTAGTTTGGAAATCTGTGTTCTCTCTCTCTCTGTTTTTTTCCTTTCTCGCCTTTTCTCTTTGAGACAGGGCCACACTGCAATTAATTCACAGGTTGGCCTTGAGCTCACTTTTGTATCCCAGGCTGGTCTTAAACTTGTGGTGAGCCTCCTGCCTTAGCTGTGCAAGTGTGTACCAACACGCCAAGCTCCTCTTTGAATTCCACCCCCTTTTGAAGGTGCATTTAGTGAATAGGCATCATCTGATTTGCAATTTTCCTGCCTTTTACATTTGTTTTATTTTGTGTTTCTAATTGTAACTTCTCAAGGCTAAGACCGTGTAATTTCACATCTGTATTTGTCCATATCCCTTTATTGCTTCCTTCCTTATTATATGTGCCCACTTGTAATAGATTTTTCTAAATATTTCTTCCCCCATGTTACAAAATAAGGTAACACAAGCAGTTTGGGGCCAGGAGTTGAGGCACAGTGATAGAATGCATGTTGATTGTGCACTAGGTCCCAGCTTTGATCCCAGCACAGGGAGTTGTGGAGCTAAGTTACAAAGTTCCTTCAGACATTGGAAGTGGTTATTTGGGAATCTCTGTAGGTCATTAGCCTTAGCCTTTTCAGTTCCCTTTCAAAATCCTTTAATTATTTGAAGTGGGCACCCGTTTTGTTCTGGTATTCTGAATGTAGCCGAGAACTATCTTGGTAGGTTTTTATTAAGAACTTTATTTAACATTAACTTTTCTTTACAAGTTACTATAGTTTAATCAACATCTATGTATCCTTTGTGTAAACTACCTTTGTTCTGATTCATGAGAACATCCATTGTCTTCTCCTGATTTTTCTCCTTCCATCCTTCTTTCCTCCTTCCTTACATACATTCTTTTTGATGGGGGATTCTGGGAATACAACCCAGGGCCTTTGTACTGAGCTAATCTCTAATTCTTTTTATTTTTTATTTTGTGATAGGATCTTCCTAAGTTGCCTAAACGGGTGCTTTAATCTGCTGAGGTATCTGGCTGGCTATAGTTTAATTATTAATATGAATTAAAATTAAGTTTGTTGAGTGGGGTGTGGTGGTGCAGGCCTGTAATCCCAGCACTGGGGAGGCTGAAAACAGGAGGATCACTATGAGTCAGATCTGGGTAGTGAGACCCTGTACAAAAAACAGACAAAAACCAGTGAGCTGAAGGCCAGCCTAAACTGCATGGTGAGACCCTGTCTCAGAAGATCTCTCCTTTTCCCCCAAAAAAGGTTTGTTTATTTAGTGGTACTAGATGTTGATCCTAAGGTCTTAGATATGCTAATCATCAAATAATCTAGAACTGAGCAGTACTACATATACAACTGTTTTAAAGTTTTATTTTGAGACAGGGTTTTGTGGAGTTCTAGGCTGGCTAACACCTTGAAATCTTCTTGTGGAGCTGGCATGATGTTGCATACCTGTAATCCCAGTATTGGGGAGATTGAGGCAGGATGATTGCTATGAGTTTGAGGCCAACATGAACTATGTAGTAAAGGCCTACCCTGTCTCAAAAAATAATCCTTCTAGTTGGAATTATTATGAACTATATCATGACTGATTGTGTTTGCTGGTTTGATTTTCAAAATTTTTATGTTTCTTCTCATTTTGATTTTTAATTTTGAAATATGTACGTTATTACTATGCTTTTTTCAAAAGTCAAAATCACAGGTGAATGTGGAGGCCAGTAGTAGAGTGCTTGCCTAGCATGGATGAGGCCCTGGTTTCAATCCCTAGCACAAGAAAAAAGCAAAAGTGAGGATTACACAAGTATACATTCCCTGCCCTGCCCGTACCACACTGTTTTCTCTTCATTTGTCCTAAAATTCTTTCTATTTTAGTTTGTCCTGTTTATTTTGTGGTAAGCAAGTAGATGGGTATATTTTTATTTTTGTTTAGAAAAACAACATACTATCCCCTTCATCTTAGAAATATTGTCACTTCATGTCACATCCTTCTCATTTTGTATTAAGGATATGTATTTTCAATTTTTTAATTGTGCAATTCTATGGCATTAAATACATTCACACTGTTGTGGAGCAATCAACATCTGTCTCCAGAACATTTTACCTTTTCAGGCTGAAATGCTGTACCTGTTGAATAGTAACACCTCATTTTCTTCTATTTTAAAAAATTTTATTGAGAATTAAATATGCATGAGACAGTTTCAAAGCTGATTAATAGGACAGTTTCGATAATCAATACATTGTACATTGTTACCTTCTTAGTGGTTATCCATAGTATAAGAAGCAGACAGGATATCCTGTCCAAACACTATTAGTACACTTCTCATTGAATTAAGCAAAAGTAGCTGTATATTTATCCTAACTTTTGTATATATAAATGCAAAATGATCTTTCCTTTGTATCCCCTCCCCTTTTTTTTTATTGTTTAGTTCTGTCAAAGGTGAATATTCTATTGGCATCTAGATACTATAGGGATTTGAGGGTCCGGGGAGATGGCTCAGTGGAATAAGTGCTTGCCTGGAAAACACAAGGACCTCAGTTCAGTCCCTGGTTCCACAAAAAAAAAAAAAAAACAAAACCCAAACAACTATAGGTGTTTGAATTCAGCTAAACAATCCAACTCTGTCTAGCAGTCTATAATATTAGTGGGTTATCCTCAGAAGTTATTGACTTGAGCCTTTTACAACTCATCATATTAATATGGCTTTACTTTATATACCTCATTTTTATACTTTTCTGCTGGATGATTAAGACCAAGATAAAGCAAGACCAATATAGCAAGAAATGTAACTTTTGTATCTGATAAGGTCAGTCAAGTCCCCTCAGGATTTATCCTGTAGCCCTGTACCTCACTTTGTAGATCCTTGGTCAGTGTCAGCCATGAGGATGAGTCACGGCCATTGCTTGACCAATTTGCTCTCTGTGAAAGCCTGAGAGAATGTTTTCTTTCCAGGTGACTCTCCTTAGGCACACTGTACATCATGGATCACATTCCTCTGTGGCTCCATAATCTCCTTGATCAGAAAATTTGGGGCACAACTGAGTTACATGATGCTACAGTACAGGTTCTCCTATGTCCCGAGTCTTCACTAACCTTGAAAGGTTAGGGCCAAAATGTTGGCTGACCTTGCAGCCCTTCCTTTTCTCCCAATTTTGAACTGCTAACTTAGTTTATTAACCCTCCAGAACAGAAGCTTATTATTAACCTGTAATATATGCAGTTCGGTTTACCCTATCTGTCTAAATATCAAACCTCTTTGGCATATCATGGAGCAGGTATTTTCCATCAAATATTGATATGTTGAACTTTAAGTCCTTTTGAAGGAAAAATAATTCTATAAAACTAGAAATAAGCATTTACATATTTTTACAAAGAAATTTAGAAATCTAACCATACACAGAATTGTAGGGGCCGGGGAGATGGCTCAGTAGAATAAGTGCTTCTCTGGCAAGCACAAGTGCCTGAGTTCATTCCCCGGTTCCGCCAAAAAAAAAAAAAAAAAAAAGAATTGTAACAGGACAGACCTGTAACATCTCATTTTCCACCTGGGCTAGTATGTATATAAATTCAGGTACTCCATTATTTGCATGCATATATTCTAGTTTATTCAAGCAATTTTCTTTGTATGGATATTACCTACATTCTTTCCAGGGCTTTGTAATTAAAATACTGCTGTGAGGAGTAACCTTTTGAATTTACATTTTCATATTGTTGAGTGGTGTATCAACACAGTAGATTTCTAAAAGTGGGTTGAAGGGTAAATGTAGATTTATTATTTACTGGGAGCTGTCAGTTCACATCCTAGAGATTGTACTGTTTTGAACTTTGATCAGCAGTGTCAGTTTGCCCATAGTCAAATCATAATAAGTGTTTTATATATAACTGCTTTTTTTTTTTTTTTTTTTGGTGGAACTGGGGATTGAATTTAGGCTCTTGCGCTTGCCAGGGAAGCACTTATTCCACTGAGCCATCTCCCCAGTCTGTAACTGCTTTTGCTATCTTTTGTATTTTGATAAAAATTTCAAAATCAGTTTGCCAATCTGAGCAGCTGCCTGTAGGGTCTAGCCAGCTTGAGTCTCACTCTGAGTCTTTTAGTGTCAATTTGGCAAGAATGATAGCTTTGTTTGGGTTCTGCATTCACTTTTTTTTGTGGTCAGCTCAGCCTGCCTTGGGGGCGGGGCTGGCCAGGCATGTGGTACCAGGGATGTACTTTAGACCA